TGAGTGTGGATGAATCAGGAAATCATGTTTTAGTTATAAATTCATTTATATATATCCTTAATAATTTCGTCTTCAATGTATGAAGCCGCTCGTGAAGTCCACGGTTTCTCGAATACTCGACCTAAATCGAAAAGTAAGATTGCTCCTCTGGTAGCTTAAATGTTGAGCTATTAAAAAATTTCAGCACTTTCACTTTTATTTATTACCTGTGTACTGTGTACATAGTAAATTGTAAATTATTAGAAAGAATAAGCAAATAAATCGTAGATAAAACCCATATATTGACAATCTATTAAAAATATACAAGTGACCGCAATAAATAGAAATTAATAATAAAAATGTTTCACATACTTACATGGAATTTAATTTCATAGGATTAAAAATTTTTAATGAAATAAACATTACATGATGCCTCGCATGACACATATTCGCTACATTTGTAATTTTTAATTACGACAATATGAAATTAATAAAATCATTTGTACTTTTGTCATCGTAGTATTACAACATAATATACGTAATTTTTCACATACCTAACAAACGAATTTTTACAAAAACTTATTCTTCATTCTTTCGTGGCCGTATAATAAGTTATTTATTTAGTGTAATAAATCAAACGTCATAAATGGAAGTAAATACAACAGTATAAGAAAAAAACGAATCATATAAATATGTAGATAAATATATTTAAGTTTATGATTCTGTACTATGCATTTAACTTGTATATTGATTTCTGAGAGACGTAAGTTTTAACAGACAAATGTAACTTATTATTTGAATTTACAAACATATAACTGGCCAAAAGGTAAAATTACAATGTTACACTCTACTCTACTTAGTTCCTAAACCCTTCTACCCTACATCAAATAGTTATATAAGTATATGATACATGTTAAATATTGTTCAGTCATGATTAAGCTGCTCATGTTTATGCATTTATAGACAACAGATAAGAAAAATGAAAGGGACAACTCTTCGATTTTGTAAACGCAGATATTCTTCCGAGAACTAGAAGCTCTTCTTCCATATTGTACTTTTAACATATTTATTACTAACATGTTCGTAAACATACACACATGTTCAGCCAATTTTATCCATTTCATTAGATGCTATTACAAATAATGAAAACCAGTACTACATTTACAGTATTTGTACAAATTTTAGAATGTAAACAAATACATAATGTAGTAACTAAAACTTGGTAGAATATCCTACACTTCTGTCCACATTTTCATATATCGTAATGTCATATCTAACATACACCACTTGTATATTTTGGCTTATTTAAAATGCATAAACACCAGCAGACTGACCATGACATATATTAAGAATGAATTCTTATATAAAGATCCATTACTATTGTAAAATAATTCATGATTACAATATTCAATGAAATTATAAATCTCGATTTGCTATTAGAATTGTAACATTTAGATCGTTTGAAAATGGAATTAAATATTCTAGATGAAATGTTTTAAATGAAATTTGTTACCTAATTAATAACAGAATTAACAACTGATGTGTTTTCCTATTGCAATTAAATACAATAATGCTAATCATAGCCAAAAGCCGGTGTAAAGAAAAATTGCAGCGTTTGTTCAATTCATAAAATTAGAACATCTAATAGTTTTATTCCTTCCGTAAGATTGATCAAAGATTTGGTCAGACAGGACATGTTAATATCACACCCTAGATTAGTGAAGTCGATTTATGAGATACAATCGAATGTGATTTATGAATTTGAATATCCTGAATTACCTCTTGATTGTTTGTTCAATCATATATCGAATGAAGTCTGTTGTAAAGATTGCATATTATTTTACAATAAAGTAAATTCAAAGTACGTATTAATAGTATTAAATGAAACTAAACTAGCGCAACAAAATAGTTATTCTTTTATTAACAGTACATTAAAATTGACTGCTGAATATTGTTTCATTCCATTTTCATAGCTTATATGCCAATTTCTACTGATTGTTATTCTAAAATATTAATGACTAGACTTCATGTTTTGTTGCTATTTGTACTATGTGATATTCATACAGTTGCCATTCTGATTGATCAAATGATATGGACAACATAAAATTTATGAATGTCCAAATAGCAACATTCAGCTGCAGGTACAGCTTGCATTGATAATGATTTTCAGACAAAATTAACTTGTGGCTCTCCTATCCGTGATATGTTATATAAGTTATAAAAGATATTTATATATATATATATA